TGCATTTGTTTTTAGGTTTGTAGGCTGCACTAGACATAACTTTAAGAAGTTGTTATTATTTGTAAATTTAGCGTTTCGTACTGCAAGTTCTGATTGCTGCTTAACAGTAGGGTATCGGATGTTTGATGTCACTGACGCACAAAAATTACCTGTTTCAAGTGTTTAGGAAGAACACCAGAACCCATCAGATTCCCTTGTCCAAGTTTATACTGACATCTTTAAACAACTATCAAAGTCTAAGGAACCGTTAGAAAAACAATGGCGAAATGTGGGAAGGAAAAGTGGTAAAGAAACAGAACTGTAGTTAAGCTGGGGTGGAAGGAGGCACTAGGAATAAACGAAATAGAGAGAGGGAGGAAAGAAAATTGTGAAAAAATTTTTTGATAAAAACATCTGCGACGAAATAATAACAACGTAAAACAGTAGTTCTTATTTTTACAAAAACTTCCTTATTTCTTTTTGGATATCGTTTCACATTTCTGAACTTTTTCGTCTGCTACCTTTAGGATTTTGTTTGTTTTTTTAGTTGTATAGAAGGCTTAGTATTACACTTTTGTTTTTATTAATACGATCTATCACATAGTTTAAGGAAAATATGTATTTATATATATATATATACATGTATATAAATGGCGGTAACATACACAGACACTCACATGTACACGCACAAACGTATGTTTCTGTCTGTCTGTCTGTGATTTCTATTTGTAATATAAGGAACCACTACTTTTTTATGTGGATTTTCGCTATCTTGCCTCATTAAAAACATGCGCACGCGCAGTGCACACCCTCAGTATGGGTGCAAAATGTCAGGTGTCTAGGTTCTTTCCTCTTGGAGTTATGGCGGTCACAGACACACACAAACAGACACGCCCTTTTATTACTATAGATAATAGTCAAAACGGTAATTTTTTAACTAATGCATAAGATCGGAAATCGCTTGTTTATCAATATAAAGACTCTAATTAGTTTCTTTTAGATCCACTGTAACCTATTTCTTTTTTAAAATTTAATTACGTAAGAACGTGTTATTTTCCTTTTAAATGCAAATGATCTTGTTTTCTTCGTTTTTATTTTACTAATAAGGAACTTGCCTTTGAAAATGCTCTATTTTTCCCAAAATAAATTTTTATTCTATTGAGTGGTCCAACCGTGACCGAATGATTAGTGTGCTAGGACTGTGAATGCGTTCACAGCCAATGCTACGAAACCTTACTCCACTTTCTGGGGCTGTGGATACGCTATATAGTGACGGTCAAATCCCACTATTTGGTCAGATAAAAGTTGACGGTGGGTGTTTTTAACTAATTACATTCTTTCTGATCATAATCTCAATATTTGAGACGGTTATGCGGAGACAGTTCTTTGTAAAGTTTTGCGCGAAAACTCTGAAACAGTCAACACGCAATATATTTTAATTATACTTTCATTGATATATAAATGGCAGAATTTTTCAGTATTTCTTATTTTTTCTTAATTGTTCATGTACGATTATTCTTTCTATATCAAAATCTCGTTCCTATCAAAATACCTTTCAATTGCCATTGACATTCAATGTATATTTTCAACTTGTTCGTATCGAAAATCAGCTATTTTGTTTTTTTAAAACAATACTACTATTGATATTTAATAATTACGTCTTACCTTCTCATCTATTAATATGCCCCACCGTCTCCCCAGTGGCACAGCGGCATGTCTGCGGACTTACAATGCTAGAAACCGGGTTTTGATATCCGTGATAAGCAAAGCACACGTAGACCATTGTGTAGCTTTGTGCTTATCTTCAAATAAACAAACAAACATTAATAGGTATGCTTTGGATTGCAATACCTGTATTGCTATAACATTATGCTATCTTATTTATTTGTGACTGTAAGAGCATTATGTTACTATTTTTTCTTTGCATTATTTATTTGAATTTCGTGCAAAGCTACTCTAGGGCTATCTGCGCTAGCCGTCCCTAATTTTGAATTGATAGACTAGAGGGAAGACAGCTAGTCAACACCACCCACCGCAAACTCTTGGGCTACTCCATACCAATGAATAATGGGATTTTACCATACATTATAATGTCCCCACGGCTGAAAGGGCATGTTCTGTGACGGGATTCTATCCCGCGCCCCACAGATTGCCCTAACAACCACGCCATTTCAAGCGTCTTTGCTTTGTGTACTCAGATCGCCTATCTCATTTTGCTTTTGGACAAAAATTGTGTATTATTATTATCATCATGTTGTCATATGTCTAGAGAATAACTGAAGAGTCTTCTTCAATTCATTGTTATCTACCTTTAAATCAGTCAAAATACGTAATTTGAAATTAATCATTTAAGCAGTGAACGTTGTTGCATCATTTGTTGTTACTTACGTTTCTTTAGCATCCCCGCCTACTTCCATGTTTACATCTACGGAAGCGTCTAAACCAAGATATATTTTAACGTCTGAGTTACTTACATTATGTGTTACTTGATTTGGAGTTTTAGATTCTCTCTTAAACAATGTAAAAAGCTTTTTTCTATAATTTTTCATAGTTGCAATCGAATTAATGAGATATGTTCTAAAGATTCACATCACATGCTCAGATTTCACTTTCTTTCTTCTTTCTAGGAATCCATTAAATGAAGCAGATGCAAAGACACAATGGAAGAATGCGAAAACAAATGAAAATCTAGAAGCTAAAGCCGTCTTGACATAGAAGTATAACCAATTATTTTCTAGTACTGAGATCACTTTTTACTTGGAAGCTATAGTTCAAGTTCTACATACTACATGTGAAGTTTTCTACTTTAACGTTTATCATGTTTTACCTATCCTATTTCGGCTTATATGTATTTGGTAACAATCTTATTACACAAATAGGGGATGCTAGAAAGAACAGACTTTTATGTGCATGACAAAGTCAACGAAAAACAAGTCGTGTGGTTGATGATCGATAAAAGAACAGTATTATACAGACTACGATTTATCATTTGTAATGGAAATGTTTCAAAATGAATAAAAAAATTTTACGTTAAAGCGAAATTTTATTTTTTGTTTATCCTTTTTCTGTATGTTTCAAATGTTTTTTTTTAATTATATACGGTAGAGTAGCTTAAATGTACATGTTTTTAGATCTAACAGGTTAAAAGTCTTCAGTAAAGTTTAATGAGAGAACATAAAATATCTTACTTCTTTTAAGGGTTGCAAACATTTGTAGCGTGAAAATATGTTGTTAACACGCATAGCTCAACATAGTACAATAGTATGTAATAAGACGAGTTACTTTTTTTAAGTTAACATACTTCACGAGTGTTGTAAGGCAACTTAAATCGTATTTACTACAGGCCAGCATGTATATTTTAGTGTATTATAAGACAACTTAAAGCATAGTACTTACAGATTAACCGATTTCTCAAGGATGCAAAAATACTATCTCCAGTTGTATTTCTGACAGATTAGTATGGTAGTGTCTTGTAAGCAGCTTTAAACGTACTAGCTATTTCGTGCAGAATGGAGTGCTTGGAAAGTGCCCCTAGAGCTAATTACATGTACCGCCTTTTAGCTGATCGTGCTTCAGAAGCATATATTTAGGCAGATTGAAAATGTATAAGGGATGACAAAGAAAAATAATTTCTGTTCCATATACCTTATACAGAGTATGAATAAATAGCAAGCCACATACCAAGGATTATTAAACTGAGAAGTTCGAATGAACATACCTTCCTCATCTTGCATATATACTCTTACTTAGTATCTTGTATTTCACATATTTTTGGGTTTTATTAAGAACAATTGACATCAACTACACTTTAAGAGGCAAGTGATGTGGGTGTTCTCAATTAGACTTATAACACCAAACCTGCATTTTAACAAACTGGAGGTAACGATAGAAGGTGTACATCGCACTAAACGAGCAGTAAGTTGAGAAGTGTGTCTGGCTGTCCACATACTTAACACCATTGGTTGTTGTAATCTGACGTGGTTGACTAACAAGAAAACAAAAATTCTTGAACATCTAGCCTGGTGGTTAGGGCACTTGACTAGCAATACGCAGGTCACAGGATCGAAACCAGTCGCCTATTCAGCCGTGGGGGTATTATAGAAGAGTAATCCAAGAGTTGGTGGGGGATGGTGTTAACTAGCTGCCTCTCCTCTAGTCCATCATTTCAAAATTAGGAACTGTAATCGCAGATAGCCTCCGAGTAGCTGTGCGCGAAATTTAACAAACCAACATATATTTTCCCTCCAATAATGGAGACCCGTTTCAGCACGTTCTCAGTGTGCAGTCCAGGTAGCGTGGTGTCATCCTTAATTCTGAACAGGGGGACAACCAGCTGGCAGCAACCACTTTAATATCTTATTTATTATTGCATATTTTATTTATTTTACTCCAATAATATCCTCTTATTACTTTTTGAATTTTTTCATTATGTATATTTTAGCATCGACTACAAAACATAAATATAACGATTTAATTTTATCATTTCTACTATACTATCATATACTTGAGGAATTTGGTACGGGTCTCAGCACAGGTTTCATCTATTCAATAACCACCTCAAGGTTCTTTTAATAGTATTGTTTAATAAATAGATTAAAGTAGATTTAAATTAGTTTAATGTAATGACGTTAAAAGCTAAGCCTGTTACTCAAAAATATACATATACACTTGGCCTGAAGCATAGATAGAATTAAACGGAATATAAGCCTAAATGTATGAAATTGTTTGTAGAAAATGCCCAGATTGAACGTTTAAACTATCATGCGATGTTATGTGTTAAACATTGAATATTATATTATACATAAATATTATATATTACGTTAAGTTTGTATGGAATATTATACGTTACGCATTAAATATAATAATAGTAATTTTTATGTTATATATAAGTTGTGAAATTTTAATAAAGTCTGGTAACTACCGTATCGAAATCCAATGTTTAGCGTTACAATCTCTCAGACATTGAGCCACTGGGTATCATGTAGGAAAGCTAAAAATATCAAAAGTGAAAGGATGGATCTGCCTTGCTATGCCTAATGATGCTACTTTAGGTCTAGGTGTATTTACAGTACTAATTAGCCTGGAAACTTAAAAAATAAGACATCTGAACTATCCGGTAAAAATATCGTGCGTTATCTACTCCAGAGTTAAATCATAAAAAGAGAAATAAAATACGTATCCGTAACACACGCCATGTATGTTTTAAATTATCTACCCCAGAATTCTAATATTTTATTATATTTCTTACTTTGTGCTTACATTTGTACGCAACCCTGTAATGTAATGATGTTAAAAGCTAAGCCTATTAGTCAAAGAAATATACTTCTGGCTTGAAGCATAGACAACATTAAACGAAATACAAGTCTGAATGTGAATGTCGGAATTAGGTTGTATAAAATACCCAGTTGAAAATAAAAATATTCATAATGTAAAACCAATAATCTGGAGGTTCATATCTGAAAATTAATGTTTCAGTAATCACCCGTAAGAGTCTACGAAACCTAACACAGTAAGCTTCCTTAGATCTGTTCTAAAATATAAATTTTGAATAATATTAATAATACTAAGCCTAAATTCACAAGAACATAGCTTTTATGATTAATGGTAAGTAGTATCAACAAAGTCTAAGTCTTAATGTATAGTTAGAATACTAAGTTTGGATAAAAAAAAAAGAGTAACGCAAATATATAAATACAAAGCCTAAATCATCAGAATAAATCTATACTCAGTCAGGAGTTTAAAAAAAGGCCTAAAGGATATTAAGCCTCACAGAAAAATGGCTCTCAACCTCTTTTGGCTCAGGGTCCATTTGTAAAATTTGGTGGCCAATCACTGTCTAGTAAATAGCTTTATTGCAAAAAACATCTTGCTCACTAAATAAACTATTTTGTTTGTTTGCTTTGAATTTCGAGGGCTACTCGAGAGCTATTTGCACAAGCTATCCTTATTTAGATATGATAGACTAGAGGAGAAACAGCTAACTAACACCAATCCACCGCTAACTCTTAGGCTATTCTATACCAAAGAACAATGGGATTAACCAACACGCTATAACGCCATCACGGCGAGTCGAGTGCTTGAACCACCAGACCATGTCAGGCCAAATAGACTATTATCCATTTTCAAAGTATGTTTGTGGCCTTTTCACATATATTTTGAGGACCCATGGATTGAGAAACGCCATGGTTACGTAACAAACACTGTTTAAGTATCCCTAAATCACTATAAGATATACGGACTAACATATTTAACTAAGTTATCTAAAAATAATAACCCGAAACTAATACTAATATTATTTATAAATAATAACAAGAGGCTTAAATAACATAAAAATGCCAAGGGCCTTTCCACTTCGATCGACTACAGTTTACAAAGTGGTTGTAAAAGTAAATTTTTGAACCAGAATTAATAGAATTCCGTTATTCCACTAGAACAAGATTGAAGCATACCACTTTCTGTAAAGACATGAAATCAATTTTCTAAGGTAGGCTGGAACTGAGAAACAACAAATTAATTAGGTTTTACTCAATATTCTTGTGCTCTTGAAGAATGAATGAGAAAAACAATAAAAGTTCGGTTAATTAAAATAAAGATAATACAACTATCTATAAATGTTGTAGATACTAGTTTGATACTGTTTTTCTTTACAAATGTAAATATATTATTTTACTGAACCAAATTAAATTTTATTGTCTTTTTTAAAACTTAAAAAGTCCTAAAAAGAAATATATATATATATATACTTTTGAAGATCAAAGATCTGAATCTGAGTTCAAGCAGTTTTAAAAAATATTTGATTACATGTAGATAATTATGAATTCTCTTATGCACACGGGAAAAATTTAATTACCAATCTTCTAAACTTTAAGTTAAATATTTGCAAACTTCCAAATAAAAATTTTGAATATTATTTTGCACTTTTACTTACTAATTAATCATTTGTACGTTTTTGGAATTAATACAATTAGAAGAAAACAATATATTTTGTTCCAAACAAAACTTTTTTAAAGACAGTCGAACTTGAATAGAACTGGAAGTCTTGTCTTGAACTATGAAACATTGAAAACACATTAAAACTTTAATAGAAATCCTGAAGATTATCTTTATATCTCTCTAGACCTATAACTTTAGACCCATTTGACGAGCATTTCAGCTCTAAAAGATTTATTCTTCTGAGAGATTTCTATAGGAAAAAGTTGGTTAATCTTAAATGTGGTTAAAGAAAGCCTATATTTTCTTCTATTTGAAGGGATTTGATAAGATTTATTAACAACGTAATCTCGAGGTTTGCTGCACTATTCGGGAAAGTTTCTAAATGAGAATATCGATTCAAGTCTGCTATTCAACTGAACAGTAAGTTGTTGTAAGACAGAAAGAAATGATTCGGTTTAGTTTAGCTTAATCCTCAGTTCGAATGAACTTTCTTTTCTTATACGAAAGCTTTTCCAACAATTTCATCAAGTAAAATTCTAAAACGATTTTAATGGACGTATAGGTAAAAATTCAACTCGAGTGCGTGTAACAATGTATGATTTATTAAACATTATCTGACTTGCATGATCTTAATGGCGACAAAAACTGCTGCATTTTGTGTTCATTATTGAAACAATTATTTATTGGTTACATCTGATTTTATGTGTGTAACAATGTATGATTTATTAAACATTATCTGACTTGCATGATCTTAATGGCGACAAAAACTGCTGCATTTTGTGTTCATTATTGAAACAATTATTTATTGGTTACATCTGATTTTATGTGTGCATTAATTTGAACACAGGCAAAATTTATACTGACGGCTAGGTTTGTAACATTTCTTTTATCAGCCGTTTTGAAGCCGTCTATATATGTATAACACTGAAAACAGAGGTTCTATAAACACCTAAACTCAAAACAACGTTCATGAGAATAGTGATTGTTATTTATAATTTACATTATAAATACATAGGCCATAAAATACGTGTATCACCAAACATGCTCGCCCTTTCAGCCGTGAAGACGTTATAATATGATGGTCAAT